GCAAGTTATTTTTTCAATTTAGATGCTTCTCCTCTCCTTTAACTTTGTAAGAAGATCTTTTGTAATAGGACAGTCAGTGAATTCTGCCTTAATTTGGATGCAGCCCCATCCATGAAAATGTACATTTTCATTTTTAATAATGTTCTGGTTCAGCAAACATCAAATGTTGACGAGGTTGTGAAGAAACCAGAACCCTTTGGTTCAGCAAACATCAAATACTGGCGAGGTTGTGAAGAAACCAGAACCCTTATTAACTGTTGGTGGGACTGTAAAATGTTGCAACCACTATGGAAGGCTGCATGGCGCTTTCTCAAAAAGTTGCAAATAGAAATACCATTTGTCCCAGCAATTCCACTACTGGGAATATACCCTAAAGGAGCCAGAACTGCCACCCAAGCAGATATATGCACACCCATGTTTATTGCGGCTTTGTTCTCAATAGCAAAGAGTTGGGAACAACCCAAGTGCCCATCAACAAACGAATGCATAGAGAAGCTCTGACATATTCACACAATGGAATACTATGCTGCATTGAGAAACAAGGAACTCAGGAAATATTATGCAAGATGGATGACCCTGGAGGACATTGTGCTAAATGAAATATCTCAGTCACAAAAGGACAAATATTGCATAGGGCCACTGTTGTAAAAAAGGACTGACATCAGGGTTGCGGGAAGACAGAAAAGGAGGGGAGGAATGATGTATATTGCATTGAAACAGATTAGGGAGAGAACTGTTTAAAAGGGATATATGAATGGGCATTCTTGTCATTACAGAAATCCAGAGTGAAGGCTGCACAGTGGAGTGGACTTGCGGGGAGGGATTGCATAACAATGAAAGAGTTTTTCTTTTTCTTTTCAAGGAGAAGAATGAATTGGGGGGAGGGGTGGGCAGAAGAAAAGTGCTACAATGCACGACTGGAAACTCTAAGTCTCTGTAAACTTTCATTTAAATTAATAAAATAATAATAAAAAAGAATGTTCTGGCGTTTTTCCTTGGTCATATTGGAAACTTCTAAGCAATAAGTTTACCACCCACCTGTCATTTTACTCTCTCACTCACTGCCTGTCAAATTGGAACTGACTCATAACTGACCCTTTCCTAGGTTTCCAAGGCTGGAAAATTGCACAGAAGCGTTTTGCCTATCTTTCTCCTATGGAGCTACTAGCGGATTCGAACTGCCAGAGAGGTGCAGTCCTTCAGTTAACAGTGCACTCCCCTGTGGACTAGACCACCAGCTCTCTCATATCACTATTATGCCAGAAGCTATGGCCGCAGTATTTCAAGTACTAGTAGAGCCTCTATCCTGGGCAGGAGTCAATGCGCTTCCACACTAAGACAGCCCAGAAGAAATTGACTTCAAAAAGTTAGTCTATGAAAAGTTTCTGGGTCATAACAGAATATGAACTCCTAGGTTGGAACATACTTAAAATACACAGTGGTTATAACAATGACTTGGGCATGCCAGTTATTATGAAGATGGCTCAGGGCTGGGCAATGTTTTACTCTGTTCTACATGGAGTTGCTGTAGTCAGAACTGACTTGATGGCAACTAACAGCAACTAGCAGAGTTTTGACTCAGTTTGCCCACTTGCCACATGAAGCAGAGTAAATTTTGCATAGTAGTATTTGTGAACCTGAAATTCACAGACTAACCATTCTGTCAGAATTAAGTCTATTAACATTCCATAAGTTTAGTTCCGAAATAGCACTCCTTCATCATCTAAGAAATCTAAATTCTATCTAAGAAATATGCCAGAGGAGAACCGTCTCCTCAGAAGTTAGGATGTTGTGAAGTGCTGTCAACTATGGCTCATAGTCAACCCTGTGAGCAACAGATGGAAACCTTGCCCTATTATCCTGTGCCATCCTCATAGTCTCTGCATGTTCCCATCTATTGATGTAGTTACTGTGTCAGTCCATCTTGTTTGAGATCTTCACTCAGTGAATTATTTACATGAGTGTGTAGGCATTACACTTTTGCTTTGCTTATTGGTACATTATTGCTGCTGTGTATAATTGAGTCAGAATGACCCGTAGTGACCTCAATGGGTTTTCAGAGGCAGTTAACCACATGGATTAACTCCCTTAGAGCAGGTGGTGGATTCGAACTGTGTGCCTTTGGGAATGCAGCACAGCTTTTTGCCACTAGGCCACAAGAGCTCCCTATGGTTCCTGTCATATTACAGATATGAAATTATTTTTTTCTTATTTTTATTTGTAGATAGAAGTGGTTCCTACCACATTATAGATACTCCATTATTTTTTCCTGAAATAGGATACTTAGAAGACTCTCACGTATGAGAATGAAAGTTGTGTAGTTGATTTCACACCTGGGTTTGAGATATTCTATAATGTTCAATGAGTAGTTGCTAAGTGGCCAGTTGAATATAAAGGGTTGGAGCTCAGAAAAAGACGTAAACTTGCTATTGTAGTGATAGACGTTAACACAGGAAATTGGTGCGATATATGTAGATGGACTTCTGCTAGAAGAGAATGCGAGACAAGAACCTACAAGGAAGATGGAGAAGGAATGAACAGAGAGGTAGGAGAAGGGAAGTGAAAAGAAGAAAGTGCCTCAAGAAGGAAGGAGTGGCAAATCAAACAATTGACTTCTCAAGTTCTACTGAGAGATCATTATAATGAAGAAAAAAATGCGATTTGAATATTAAGGATTATTGGGTAACTGGCTTGCATAGCAAATTCACTTTTGGTGGAGTGAAAGAAATGGGTTTTGAATAGCAAAGGCACAGAAATAATGTGTAAGAGATGAAATTTGACAGCAATCACCAGTAACTTGAGGACATTCTGAATAGAAGGAAAGAAGGAGAAAGAGAATACAATGCGTGAAGTGTTATATGGACTTGAGAGTCAATTTTCAAAAACAGAAAACAAAATTGGAAAGAACAAGTATGGTGCAATAGTTTCCTAATGCTGCTGTAACAAAATACCACAATCTGGGTCGGATAAAAGAACACGAATTCGCTCTTCCACTGTTTCCGTCCAAATCTAGGGTATCAGTAAGGTCACTTTCTCTCCAAAGTCTCTAGGGGAAGATTTCTTCTTGTTTGTTGCAGCTTCTGGTATCCCTAGGCATTCTTTGGCTTGCAACATCATAACTCCATCATCATTAAGCTGTCTTCTCCTCTGTGTCTTTTCCCTTTAGTAAGGTCACAATTCAGATTGGATCAGAATCTATCCTACCCAGTTTGACCTCATGTTGACTTAACAGTTAATATCTTCAAAGATCCTGTATTCTAAACAAAGTCATGTTCATTGGTACTGAGTTTTAGGACTTCAGCATATCTTCCTGGGGACTAAAATGCTGTTAGTTGCTCTTGAATCCATTCTGACTCACAGTGATCCTATGTAAAATAGAAGGGAAACATTACAGTCCCACGTCATCTTTACAGTCATTGCTATGTCTGAGTCCATGACAGCATCCATTGCCCCAGTCATCTTATTAAGGACCTTTTGATTTTTCATTGAACCTCTGCTTAACCAAACGTGATGTCCTTCTCCAGGAACTGGCCCTCCCTTCTCATGTTCTACATGTATGAGATAAAGACTTAACATTCTCTAGTATTGTTACAATGCATGCATTCCTGATAAATGTTTCAGGGAGAGATGATTTGCTTTGCCCAGTCTGGGATGCAGTGGTTATTTGTTCATTTGTCAGTGAGATTTGGTGACTAACAGTGAGATTTGGCGACTAAACTCATTTCATGTCCCCAAATATTAGATGGATCTTGGCTGAAAGCAGGGAGTACCAGAGGAATGTCTGTCTGTGATTATGCAAAGGCATTTGACTGTGTGGGCCATAACAAACTGTGGCTGACTCTGAGAAGAATGGGAATCCCAGAACACTTGATCGTGCTAATGTGAAACTTATGCTTGAGCCAAGAGGCAGTCGTCAGAACAGAGCAAGGAAACACTGCATGGTTCAAAATTGGGATGGGCGTAAGCCAGGGATGTGTCCTGTCTCCACACCTTTTCAACCTGTATGCAGAACAGATCATTCGGGAGGCTGGGCTCTATAAGGAGAAATGTGGCATCAGGATTAGTGGAAGATCTATCAACAATCTGCATTATGCAGATGACACAACCCTGCTTGCTAAAACTGAGGAGGACCTGAAGCACTTGCTGCTGAGGGTCAAGGACTGTAGCCTTCAATATGGATTGAGGCTCAATGTCAAGAAAACAAAGATTCTCACCACTGGACCAATTGGCAGCATCAGGATGGACAGTGAAGAGATTGAGATTGTTCACAGGTTGAGTCTGCTTGGCTCCACAGTTAACACTCTTGGCACCAGCAGTCAGGAAATTAAAAAATGTATTGTGATGGGAAAGTCTGCTGTTAGGGACCTCTCTAAAGTAATGAAGAGCAATGGTGTCTCTCTGGAGACTAAAGTGCATCTGATACAGGCCATGGTCTTTGCAATCACTTGTTATGCGTCAGAGAGCTGGACAATGACCAGGGAGGATAGAAGGAGAATTGATGCTTTTGAGCTTTGGTGTTGGAGAAGAATGATGAGAGTACCATGGACTGCTAAGAAAACAAACAGATTCAGCCTGGAAAGGGTTAAACAAGACGGCTCCAGGAAGGCAAGTATTCTGAGGCTTCTCTGACATACTTTGGTCATGTTGTAAGGAGAGACAGGTCCTTGAAGAGGACATCATGCTTGGGAGGACAGAGGGCTGGCGCAGGAGAGAAATGCCCTCTGGGAGGTGGATTGATTCGGTAACTGGGGCAGCCGGGATGAGTGTGTTGGAGACAATGTGATCGGTACAGGACAGAGCAGAGTTTGTACATAGGGTCGCTATGAGTTGCTTGCGACTCAGCGGCACATAACAACAAGAACAACAACAACAACAATCTTTTAAGAATGCTGCTGTGTCAAATGGATAGCTGGAACCTAAAATGTAATTCCATGTATTGTGTTGTTTTTGAAACAATGTTTCCTTTTCCTCTTCCACTTTAGGTCCTGGGACCTGATGATGAGAACATGGGTGAGGGCTGCTCGCAGAAGCTGGCAATTGCGAAGTACCTCCGCTTTCTGTTGCTGGTCTTGATCCCATGTATCTGTGCCCTCATTGTCCTGCTGGTGATCCTCCTTTTCTTTCTTGGTAGGTGATGTCATTATGAATGAAAAACAAGGTTGAAATGAAAATTGGAATCATTTTTTAAGTGTTTCTTCTACCTAGGTCTATTTAACATTGAATGTCAATTAAAATTATTTATTCTATTTCTTGTGCAAGTATCTCAGTCACTGTAATTACTTTATTTGTTATTGCAAGTAGTGTTCGTTAATGGAGTAAAACATTTATTGAGGGAACATTAGAGAGCAGGCACTGGAGAAATCCCTGGGGGCTCAAAGACGGTTAAATTAGTTCTGTCCCACACAATGAAAAACATGCTGATGACAGAAATATGTACAAAAATTCTTTAGGGAGCAATGAAAGAAAGATACACAGAGAATGAATATTTTTATTTTATCCTAAATTATCTATGACTGCTGTTGGTGTTATGGGCTGTTGAGTTGGAACCAACTGATAGCTCACCCTCTAGTGGGTTTTCAGAGATTGTAAATTCAATGAGAGAAGATTTTCCATCTTTTTCTCATTAAGCATCTGGTGGATTTGAACCATATGCCTTTGAGTTGGCAACACAGCTTTTTATCACTAGATCACAAGAGCTCTGAATTGACATTTTAACCCTTACAACTAAGTTAATGGAAATTGAAGTAAGAAGAGAAAACTGCAGCAGTCACATTGCAGGGAAAATAGCAAATGCAGAATTAGAACCCCATGAAAGATGGAGATCAGTTTAGGAAACTGGTGAAAGTTTGGCAATGGTGAAAATATACAGCTCTATAGATAAAGTGCAAATGAAGCAGGACCTTGCCTGCCATACTAATTAGTGTGGACTTCAGCATTGTGATTTTTAAGTGTTCAGAATCTGTTACAAGCATGTCAAGATATTGAAGAAGACACTCAAGGATTGCATACATTTTTGCTTTGTTTTTTATTTTATAAACAGACCGTAATTAGCTAGATAATTGAACTCAGCACTAACAAACAGAGAACAGCAGCCAAGGGATTTGTGCTGAATAGTGAATTTCTTTGAATGGAAATCATATTGTTGCTTTCTAAATGGACAGTATCCTAAATTTGAAATATGAGAGGGTTGGTATTTTACCTGTTGATATTGATTTAGATCCTTTTGAATCTGTGCAATCTGATAAAATAGAGACATAAAAAAACTAAATGATGGCAGTAATTGCATTACTAATTTTTTAAAGATTTTTTAATTTCACCAAATTATGCTATTTTCTCATCCATTCATTTAGTATGTTACACATTTAGAACTTAAAAAACAAATAAATTACAATGAACTAGAGCCTGTATCTATTTGTAGATATTAAGATCTCATATAATTCTTACTTGAAGATCATTTTTAGATGCTACAAAAATGTTCGGAAATCAATGCTATGAATGACAGGTTACCATTGGAAGATATGTCCAAATTGAGAAAAATTGGATTTTGTTTGGATTGCATTATGTTTGGATAACAGATCTGGATAGAGGGTTGAAGGGAGAAAGAAATGAAGGCAGGGGCTTCAGCTGAGGGCCTTGGCCATGGTCCATGTAAAGATAAGATCGTAAGTCCAGGTATTTGTGTCATTAAAAATCAATGTTGTTGTTGTTGTTGATTGCCTTTGAGTTGAGCACGACTCATGGCAACCCTATGAACAAAAGGCCTGAAGCCCCTCTACAACTATCGACATTTATCAAAGTTCATAGAGTTTCCTGAGGCATGTTGTTTAGGAACTGTGATAAATTGGATTTTTTGTGTGAAGGAGATAGAGCAGAGGGAGAATACTGGATTTCTGGCCCAGGTAACTGGGCAATTTTGGTGTTAACTGTTAATAAAAGGAGTAAAGGCAGAAGGAGTTTGGTGCAGTTAACTCATTTGACTAACATTTAAAGTTAGAAGTTTGAGTCTTCTCTGAGATGTCTTTGAATATAGAGGTAGATGAAGCACAAAAACCCTGCACACACACACACACACACACACACACACACACACACACACACACACAGAGTCATGATGAGCTGGAATTGACCTGATGGTAACTAGTTAAAGTGGAGGAACATAATACAGGCATATGGAGGACAAATGCTAAATTTGGTGTGAACATGCAAAGTGATAGCTATAGGAAAACCAAAGGGAGTACAATAATATTTTAACTGTATTAATTCTGTGCAAATTAAACAGTGCATGTGGGGCAAAGAAATAGAAGACTGTAATAGCTTGGCTCCCTAAGATAATGTTAGGGGAAGTGTTGATTATATACAAGAGTTTCTTATATGCCTACTTTAGAACCACACATCCACTGCACTTTTACTTTCTAGAGAGACTCAGAAAGAGAGAGGATTCTGGGTTGTGGTTATGAACCTGTTATCTGTAGTAGTTGAAGGAGCAAGAATCAGTAAACTATAGAGGGAAAACTGTGTGGATTAGAAGTTGAGGGCAATAATCAGAAAGGTGCTAGTTTTTAAAGGGTAGGTGGAAGAACAAAAATAATAAAAATCAAGAGATAAAAACAATCAGAAAGGAGCGAGAGGAATTCAGAAACAATGATATATACAGAAGGAGAGGTCAGAGGGTGATCCAATAAGAAGGAAAAGAGAAGAACCCAAGTATAGGAAACCAGAGGATTTTCTGTTGACATTTCACTTATCCATTACCACATGTGCACCAAGTGTATCAGACTGTCAAGTACAAAGAAACCAAATACTGCTTGATCCCATGCCAGCTTTCCTGACTCGTTGCAGATTAGACCATTATAATCCAAAAGAATTTCCACTGGCTGATTTTCAGAAATAAACCTTTCGTACTTTCTTGCTAGTCCTTCACAGTCTGTAAGTTCTGCTGAAATATGTTTCTGTCACAATAATTTGTAAGGCACCACAGACAGTGGGGGTGGTGCTGTGTATCAGGTGCTTTGACCAGGAGTGGAACCCAGGTTTGCATATGTAGAAGTGGAGAATTCTACTACTGAGCCATCAATGCTACCCCTGAAACTTACCTTTGCCTTTTGTTTTACCCAAGAACTGTTTCCTTTCAAGACCCTGCGTGCTTTTATTACCTTAACAGTGTCTCCCAGTTATTTGTGTGTGTGTTCCCAAGTTTTTAATTGTTGTTTATCTTATAGGGGTTTACTCATCTGTACCACTAATTCTCATAGTTTTAAAAGTTTAATTCTCTTATTCCTGTATTTGGTGGCTTATTTACATTAAAGAATATTTTGTTTCATTCTCAATGTCTAATACCAGTGTAAGTTTGAAACACACTTTTAAATTCTTTGATACTTAGAGCTTTCTAAGCAGAGGAAGGATGTTATCATAACATGCTTTAAGAAGGGTTTTATGTATGGGTGTAGTTGTTCTTCAGTTGTCCATAGAGTTTTCAAAGATATGTTGTTTCAGACGTGTAAAGTGTGTCCTGCTTCTTAGTTCCTCTTAGTCTGGAAGCTTCACTGACTCTCACCCACTATTTGTTACCCTGCTGGTACTTGAAACTGGTGGCATAGCTCTCAGTGTCATAGCAACACTCAAGCAACAACAAGCAGTACAGCAAACTGACAGACAGGTGGTTTCAAAGTCCAGATCTGTTGTTCCCAAGGTCATTATGAGTCAATTATGATTCATAGTTGTTGTTGTTGTTGATTGCCGTCGAGTTGAGGATGACTCATAGCCAACCTAGGAACAAAAGACCTGAAGTTTTTTTGTAACTGTCATTGTTTCTCAGAGTTCATAGAGTTTACAGAGGCATGTTGTTTAGGAAGTGGATGCCACGCCTGCTTTCAAACATGTCTTAATCTGGAAGCTCCACCAAACATTGTCCACCATGCTTAAACATTATGGCATTTGATACCCCAATGGAACAGAGTTCAGCATCATAGCCAGTCCAGGTTACCTCAGTACAGCGAGTTGACAGACCAGTGCTACACCACTGAGAAGAATGTTCCTCTAAATTATAATTACACTAGGCCAGAGGGCCTAACCAACTTTTAAATACCAAGGCTCTCCAGGAGGTGGTGTAACCCCCTGAATAACAAACAGATCAAAGCCTTGCTCAAACGTGTGCCATCCTCACAGTCTATACCATGTCCAAGACTATTATTATAGTCAGTATGTCTGTCCATCTTGTTGAGTCCATCATTCTTTTTTGCTGATCTTATTTTTTCCAAAACATATGAGATGAAGTTTCACCAGCTTTTCTTTTATAGAGAATTCTGGTTACACTTCTTCCACACCAGATTGTTCATTCTTTTGCCAGTCCATGGCATAGTCGATACTGTTCACGAACAACACAATTCAAAAGCATCAATTCTTATTCAAGCTTCCTTATTTCCATTTTTCAAATCCATATGAAGCAATTTAAAACATATGACTTGGGTCAGGTGTATGTACCTTAAAATCTAAACTGCTATCCTTGTTTTTTAATACTTTAAAGAGATTCTTGGCAAAAGAGCAGATAAGTTGGTCTGTGAGATGACATCAAGGACATCATGCATTAAGAAAGGAAAAGTTCATTAAAAAGAGGGATGGGAAAAGATCCAGTGTGATAGACAAGTGTATATGAACTTTATGGAATTTTGTAAGTAAACCAGTATAAATTTAAAAAAAATTAAAAAAGGAGGAATGAAAGAAAAGACAAAAAGGGATATCTGAAGAGAGTCTTAAACTTGTTCTTGAATACAGAGAAGCTAAAGCAAAGAAAGAAACGATTAAGTGAGAGAGATAACAGAAGATATCAAACAGCATCTTGAGAAGGCAAAGCAAAGTATTCTAAACTGTGCAGAAACTTGGATTTAGAAAACCAAATGCATGAGGGAGGAAGTCTATCACTTGTAAGTACTGCTTTGTCTTGTATGTTGATAGCCTTACAAAGTGTTGTTTCTCGTTCATCATCCAAAAGCATTCTTTTTATAGAATCTATACAAGATGCTTTTATATAGACATACTGAAGTAATATATACTCAAGTAGACATTTTCTTTTTTCATAACTGAGATGTTCATTGTTTCAATAAGCAATAAAACCATTCTACATCTTTGTT